CGCATTTTACAAAAGTTCATTGATTGAAATAGAATATGAGGTAGTCACATAAATCGATATATCGATACTGCAATTGAGGAGGTTATTTTCAAAAGGGCATCTTTTCATTTTTGATTAATCGAGACAAAAAACTAGTTATCTTCAATTATAAATATTTGTATTTAACTTTTTCTAATTTAGCTATAAAGTGCAATCGGTTATGAAGCTGCAATTCGATTTTCATTAATAAATGTTCATAATTCTCGAATTAATTAGTATTTAAAAGTTCAGAAAAGTGGTATTTTAAAATATGAAAAGATACCCTTTTGAAAATCAGCTCCTCAATTCTAATACGTCATATTTCAATAAATTTGACAAATTGATTTTTCTAGAAAAATAAAATCATAACAATATTATGTAAACCATATTTAAATTCAAAGTTCAATTAGTTTCATAGCTATTTTTAAATAAATGTTTTCATGCGTTGAATCGCATTTAATTAATGTGTTAAAAATCAACCATTTTTACCGTTAGCTGTAAAATTTTCTAAATGTGGGATACGACGGATTAGAATGGCAGTATCAATATGTGCAATTCGTCAGGAGTATCTATAGGCTACATGATAAATTTCAATTTTTCAATAATTTATTAAACGATAACTCTACCTCAGATTTATTCCAAAAAATTAATTTAGACGTATGAGATAGCAATTCATAAGATATAAAAAAATTAGCTTTTGATCTTGAAAAGTGCATTGGTGTCCGAACAACCTTAACAGTAATTTTAGAAATTTGATAGAAAAATCTCTATCTAATATTCGTCTATAATTATGCTTGCAAAACTCTTTTTTTTTTTTTTAATTAAATTGTTTTGGTGTACAAAAGCTCATTAGCGTAAATTTTGTTGAAAATACACTTTTTAGGTAGATTTCATAGAAATCAATCTTTTGCATTGGTCCTCATGTCGGAATTTACTCGGAATTTTGTCATAATATTTCTTAACTAGTCGAGTAAAGCTCAAAAATAGCATTGGTTTGAAAGTTTATATATATATATATATATATATATATATATATATATATATATATATATA